CTCATATTTTTAAGCCTCAAATTGTCCTTCCCCCCCCCCTCTAACATCACCAGAAGTCATAATTTAGGGGGTCTTTTCTCAAAAAAATGCCCCTAGTATTGTTTGATCACCATTTCCACAGCCCCACCTAAAATATTTTCCACCAGCCGCCACTGATTATCTGTCTGTATTATGTTGCAGCTCAGCTGATTTTGAAATGATGGCAAAGTGAGAGTGAAAACACAAGGTAAATTTAATACTACTGTTGTATATAAGTAAGCATACTAAACATGTATTCTATCACTGTATTATATAAGTAATCTTGTTAGTGTATATTAGTAACCTACTGTATGGCAGGTGGAGGGGCAGTGATGTTACAGGTGGAGGAGCAGGGATGTTACAGGTGGAGGAGCAGGGATGTTGGCTGGGTGCTGGCAGGTGGAGGGGCAGTGATGTTACAGGTGGAGGGGCAGGGATGTTACAGGTGGAGGGGCAGTGATGTTACAGGTGGAGGGGCAGTGATGTTACAGGTGGAGGACTTACTGGACATGTATACACTCATTACATACTGCACGTAAAATACGACCAAGAATGTGAGACAACTTTATACAAATTCATATCACATCCATTACTGATGCCATTTGTCATACTTTGTTAAACTCACAAATAATAAAGTTCCATAACTTCAGTTGGAAACAAAGACCACACCTTATCTCCCCAAGGCAATTTCCCATCCAATAGGTGTGCTATATAGGTGTGTATAACCCTTTCTCCTGTCTGTTTCTCCCTCTTTCAGCACAAGAACCAGAGGGGGATTCAATAGAGCCTGAATACCTGCACCGAGACCCTCACCCTGCACCCTGAGTCTCAACTCTCAGAGTTTTTCAAGCCTTTCCCTGTTATTTGTATTAAACCAAACATTAAGCTTCCCAATGGTGTGGTCTTCGTTTTATGAAAAAGTGCAAATGCAGTGTTTGAATATGATTACCTCACATATTTTGTTGCGGCTGTCTGTTTTGATTGTTAAATTGCTCCTGCTGACTTGAGCTAGCCATTTTTCCCTCCTCTCTGTGTCAGTGGGGAAGCCGTACATTTTGATTCTTACTCCTTTCTCTGAGCGATTGGAGCATCCCCAGGCAGCACAGCAAACCATGGTGGAGACGATATGCCAGGACAACACGGAGGAAAAGGCACAGACAAACTGCATGACATGCTATTCAATGTTTATTGAATTCCATGTATTTACAATGGATGTTCCTAAAACAACACTTTTAACGTCATAATCATGTTGCTGCTAGTCCATTGATAGTCACCTGTTGGTCTCCTGTCCTTTCTGAAAGTCATAAAGAGTACATTAGTCATTTAGATTACTTATGTCCTCAAGTACCATGGGATTACTGAAACCACCATGAATTAAAAAAATGGTAGAAATTAATCTAATCTAAATTTTGAAGCATTCCTTGCCATCCCCTCCCTCTAAATATATCAATAAACATTAGGAAGTGATGCACCTGACTACCATACCTGTTTAAGAAGATAATATTTGTTTTAAAGAATTCAAAGCAATACACAACAGCAACAGGCTCTTTAACCAAGGCAACAGCCTAACATGTATATGTTAACAAGTAAACTAGCTGTTCACACTATTCCTAATATTATCCATAAATATTAGCAGATTCTATTTATTTTTTAAAACATATTGATATAAATACATACACATATCGGTATGTTGTATAAATATTGCAAATCAAGACCTTTATTCACTACTTATTACCAAAAATCGTAGTTCTATCTCCGGTAATCATGCATTCATATGTCCCGCCACGAACTTCCGGGGAACTATTGACTCTCCCTGAACCACGTGACGATCAAGCATTTTGGACTTCCGCTGTCGTAACTCTCTCTCTATATGGCGCTGGGTGTTGCTATCTGCTTTGTGTAGCGTGGTTCTACAAGCAAGTCAGTGCATTCATTGGGTGCAGTGGCGGCCGGTGGTCTTTTTTTTTGGTGGGGCTCTTGACGTACCGCAAGTGACCTACCCGGGGGGTCCGGGGGGTTTCCCCCCGAAAATTTTTTTCGAGAAATGACCCCTTAAATGATGACTTCTGGTGATGTTAGAGGGGGGGGGAAAGGAGAAATCGAGGCTTAAAAATATGAGAAGACTGATCAATACCTCCATAATCTTCAGTGTGGAAAATATTATTTATCAACCTGAACATCTACTACTTTACCAGGAATTTGTGTTCTCAGAACTGGTCTGTTTTTTTCTTTCTTAAAACTGTTCATGTTTTATGAACCAACACCTTCACCAAGTAGCTTTACAGTGAACTGCATGTGAGATATAAAATTAATAGCATCTTTTCAGTAGCATTAATTATAAATATTTAAGTGGTTCAATACAAGTCACTACAGCATTTCAAACTGAACTGTGAATAAATGCAATTTAAAAAAAATAACCACAGCACAAAATGTCATAAATTGTGTTTTTTCTTTGTTTCTCTGAGGATTATTTACAAACAGGCTTATTTACATATATCAATAACTCAGAAATGAAAAAGCTACATCGTCTAACACGAACAACCAGTTAGCATAATGATAATATATGTGTTATGTACAATGTATCTGGCAAGGCTAGAGCAAGAAAGAACATAAAGTTTGCAAAAGGTTTAAATAACTTCAAGTATCTGTCTTCAGATTACGTGGAGGTTTTAGTCCGATGGGAAGCAGATTTTAAGCGACACCGAAGATAAACCAAAAATGTGGTGGAGCTGCAAACCGTGTAGTGTTGCTGGGACAGAACAGGAGCTATAACCGTTGGAAAATACATCACAGACAATGCAACAAACGTGGAGACAGAACAATCACTTCTGTGATAAATGCCCACTTATTAATAAACTTCTAACAACCATGGGAAACCTCCTCTCTACATATAAAGTGATATCCAAGCATGGGAAACAAAAGACAGCATTTACCTGTTTGCATCCAGCTAGCCAAGCCTTTCTTGTGTACCAGCTACTTGTGAAGCCTCGTGTATAAATTTTGTCTTTTTCACGAGATTGCTGCGATATATTCAAATCGGGTTGGTCCGGTGCAAGGTCTTTAAGCAACAATTTATCTGCCAAACTTCTCCTTTCGAAAGGATTGGAGATTAGCTCTTGAACAGAATTAGGCGCGGACCGAGGTCCGGAGACTCCACCTGCACACGAAGCCATCCTCATCAACCGGATACGAGTCACTGTCCAAACTACTCACAGACTGCACTGGGCGCTGACATTGGCGCCCGGTGACCGTCATCTTTGACGACGCTAATTGGCTGAAATTATATTTTCGCGGCATAGTTTACACGTTACAGATAGCAACAGTCAGCTGCTGGTGGCTGCTGCTGCACTGGTTGAAGGCTCCTCTCTTAGCGCCCAGACGAGAGAAGGTGCATGGGCAAGGCCAGGCAGGAAACATGTGACTTATCAGTAACTTTAGACATCGTAACACAATTTTAAACGAGATTTTATTGTAGATTATACATTTTACTGATACCAATTATATAATATTTACCTTGTTCATTAAAAATAAAAATAAAAACATATATATTTTTTTAAACATATTTTTTTTTTTTTATTTTAATTTTAATTATTATTTATTTTTATTTTTTTCAATATGGGAAGAGGTGGGGCGGCGCCCCTAGCGCCCCTATGGACCGGCCGCCACTGATTGGGTGGTATCAGAGAGATACAAGGGTCTGTAAATGCAATGAAAACAATTGGCCACAGCAAATAATTGATATTAAACATGTCATTTTTACTTTTGAATACTTCAGTACAAAGGATGTATTGAATAATTTAAGTGATATGTGTACACATATAAATCATTAGTCAAAACAGGGCTACATTTGATTGAATTATAAAAGGTATAATATGTGGTAAACTGAAGAGCCGTTTGGGAGCCGAGCCAAATGATCCGGCTCACCAAGAAGAGCCGGAATTCCCATCACTAGTGGTATCTGGAGCATTCGACCAATCACAAACATGGAGAAGCGTTCTGACAGCGCAGCGTCATACTTCCTGAATGAAAAGTAAACTTTAATATTAGTCAAATATGAAGAAGTTAAACTTTAAACATCCATGACTTAAACACTTTATCCTGGATAAAAGCCACATAGCTGCACCTGCAAGGTGAATACTGCTGGTAAAAGAAAAAGTGTTTGAATGCGAACATTAACAGGTTTATGATATCACTGCCCCTAATTACATTTGACTCAAGTGTTTCGTCAACTTAATGTGTTGCTTAAAATAATACTTCTGCATACAGTATGTGACACTGTGAGTGTTGCACGGCCAGATACGGCTCAGCTGACTCAAATAAGGAAATATATGATACATTATGATGTGATATGATGTGATATGAATGATAATGGGACACATCGACGTCTGCACTCACAGTGCCGCGGACTGTAGGCTACGTAATGTTACTTTGATCCGGTTACTTATGTTGTGGTAGATATTTAATTAAGCTTTCTTAACATAATAGTATAATAATAGTATAATAGTTATAGGCTAATAGTCAGATTGCTCTGAAGATGGGAGGTGATATTCTATTCATTTTCACGTTCACACAGTCGGTGATTTTGGCCGGCCGTCTTTCCTGCAACGGCAGTTTAAACTGTATTTCCTTTCTCCTGTCATGATATGAATTGATCGCTTTAAACTCCGCACACTGAGCTCGGATTGGTCAGCAGGCAGTGCTTTTATCCTGGAACCTATCCTGCTCCGGAGGCTAGCCGTTCAGAATAAGTTATCGAGCCCGCTAAAAAGTGAACCAGCTTCGTAGGACCGGAAACCCCTGAAGTTAGCTTGCTAAACGAAAATCCTGATTCGTAGTATAGGCCGCAGGCCGCAGGCCTCTGGCGTCTTAAGATAATGCACAGATCTTGTTATTATGAGCAGTTTTATATAGCAGTGAAGTTGTCACGGCAACCAAGCCCAGCCACTGATGCTGTTCAGAAGATGGAGTCAGCAACAATTAAACTGTTTTTAAATGTATTTATTAAAAAACTACATTTTGTTCATACCACAGACTGTATGAGGGTGTTGTTACAGAATGATTTTAGCCGCCTCAACACCAAAGACCCCAAATGAACAGAGAAATGTGAGGCAATAAATAACATCATTTAAAACAAACTCTTGGACTTCTGTAGAAACAGCAGAAAACACAATACCAAAGTGCTTGTGATAAATATCTGCCATTCACAGTTTACACAAACAGGCAGCTATGACTTTGGCTTCCATTACACAGCAAGACATTTTGTTCTGATAGCAACGCTCCAACAGAGGATCTGCAGCTCATGTTGCTGTGGTCAACAACGTGAGAAGATGGATATCATTTCATCTCTTCACCACTTCCTTCTTGTATCTTGTAGCAAGTCATGTTTCCTTTTTTAACACGTGTTCAGTACAGGTTAAGAGCATGACACACACAAAGCTTTGCAGTTGTTGAAGGTGTGTTTTCTCACTTTGGACAGAGCTAAGATCCTGGTACACAGGGAATACAAAGTGAGGATTTAACCAAACATCACTGTTCTCAAGAATACTCCCTGGCCCTGATGCATTCATCATGTGAGAAATAAATGCTACTGCTCTCCCTTTGAGAGTGAGCAGGTGGCAGTCAGAGGGTTTCCTCGTGGTTCTGGCTCTTATCGTCTCGCAGCTGTTTGATGTCAGTGAGCTGAAAGCCGTCGTACAAAAACGCAGACACCACTACTCATTCATCGTCTGCTTTTACCGGCAGGACAAAAACAAAAGATATCAATAACATTGAATTTGGGGGAAAAAATTGCATGATGAAACAAATGATAAATCTGAAGCCCCCCCACAAAGTTTATTCCACTCAGAAGTGGCTATGAAAATATCTCTCTCTATAAACAGGCATAGGTGATCTTTCTGCACACCACGTGTGTGTTGGCACTGAGGCAGTGTGTATGTGACAGACAGAGCGGGGGGGGGGGGGGGGCTTCAGTCGTCAATGAACGTCAGCCGGCCCGGCCCCTCGCTCTTCATCCAGCGCCGGTACCTCTTCATCCTCGGGTCGGTCGCCATCTTCACTTTCATCTCTTCCTCCTGCTGCTTCCGGTGCACCTGACACACACACACACACGCACTTAAAGTGCTGCAAATGAGGCGAACCCTCACTATGGAAACATATTAATCGCTCACATGTAATTCCATCAGTGACTCAGAAAACGTTATTGTCCATTACATTAACATATAATGAAATGTGTCTTTGGCACTGGCAAATCAGATAAAATAACACTCCCCACACAGTACAACATACAATTCATATACACAAAAAGAAGGAAGTTGCATCATAAAGTGGCAGTCTTAAAAAAACTCTAGAGCGGTTTATTCTTCCCCTGGCGTGGGTCCATTCCATACTCTAACATTAAACATCATGTGACCACTCTCAGCGAGACACTGAATCACATCGCGTCCACCTCAAAGAGGATCAAAACTCTTACTGACATATGTGACCTGCTCTATCGAAATCAGTCGCATTGACCCGAAGACACATTTTGAGTTGTATACACTGCTGGAAATAGGAGATTCCTAGCTTTCTAATGATATCAGGATTGTTTCTGTACTCCAAATATTAAGCAAAATATGTCACATTATATAATGACTGTTACCGAGTCATCATTTTGAGAAAAAGGCCTTCAAAGTTTCCTCTTCTCTGGAATCCATCGATCTGATTGATTATTAGCGGAGCAAATGATCAAAATAGTCCGGAGGGAAAATATTTCCGTTTGGATTACTGGTCTGGGGGAAGCTCGCGAGTGTGTGTGTGTATGTGTGTGTTTGTGTAATTTTGCGTTTCTGTGTATTGTTTGTTTCCCGGGTAAAACACTCAGGAGAAACACTGGCTGTTCTTATGCCTGCTGTGACGTTAAGTTACTCCGTTCTCCGCTTGTAATTATGCCGTTACAAGCTTCATAGTTGTATTTATTATCTGAATTTGCCGAAACAAGTTTAATATTCTGAAAGCCAAGACTTTGTTTATTTTAAATCAGATGAAAACAAACTGTAACGGACCCTGCCGTGTTATCAATGATTACTATACGCCTTACATTCATAATTTCAGCCGGAGGGAGGGGAAGCAGCGCTGCGGAACAGCAGAGTGGCGAGGGAGAGCTGTCATCTTCCCTTTACAAGCTTCACAAATGTATTTATCGTGTGGTTTTGGAAATAAAAGTTTCATATTCTGAAAGCCAAGACTTTGTTTATTTAAAATCAAACAAAACACCCAAACTATTTTTTTACGCAAATCCACGTTTATTTTGAAATGAGCCGTTGCGACTTCCGACTGATTTCGATAGAGCGGGTCACATATTGGCAGGATTCTAAAGAGGAAACATAGTTCTATAGTTGGACCTATATTGATTTATATTATTCAATTTGTTGTTTATTGTTCATTTACCTTTATTTTGGTGTAATCTAAGTTAATTGAGGTAGTTGTTTTATGCTTTACTTGGCACACCAGTATAGGCATATGATTTTTTACTAGGGTGAAACAAGTAAAGCCATAGGAAAGGCTACAGGACAAGAAAAGGTGAAAACATTGTTAAGTGTCTTTGTTGATATTGGATCATGCTAATCAATATACGAAGTGATGTTCCTGTTGGACTGTGTAAGATTCACTAACTGGTGCCTCAGTGGCAGGTTTGAGTTCATTTTCAGTTTTATTTCTTGAAGTTTTTGCCGCTACAAGGATCAATACTCTTAATAACTCTTACTGACAGGTTTGCAAGAATCTAGAGGAGAACAGGAGGAGAAAAAGAAAAGGAGAAAGGATGCTGAGGATCTAACAGACAGTTTTCAGATACGCACCTCGTAGTTATCTTTGATCCACAGCCGCTTCTCCAGGAACGTCTGCTTGGAGCTTTCATCCAGACTGTCGAACTGAGACTGAGACATCTTCATGTTCCTCCTGAGGAGACCGGGTGAGGGCTGAGTACGCACTGAACTATACTCAGTGGTGTAAAGTAACTAAGTAGATTTAATCAAGCACTGTGCTCAAGTACAATTTGGAGGTACTTGTACTTTATTTCAATGTTATGTTACTTTGTACTTCTACCCCACTACAATTCAGAAGTAAATGGTGTACTTCTCCTCCACTACATGTATTCAATACCTTTAGTTACTTCACAGATCTGGATGAATGATGTGAAATATAACCAAGTGTTAAATCAGACTTTAGTTCCACCTGGAGTAAATGCACAAGCTACCCTGCAGTATACAAAGTCATTCAAACTGGCTGCACCTTTACCAGCTTTGAGAACACTTTCATGATCAATCATTATAAAACATATCATATACAGTGGAGGAACTAAGTATTTGATCCCCTGCAGATTGATGCTCATTTTGTCTTTCTTCCATTTCTGAATAATGGCACCAACGGTTGTCTCCTCCTCACCAAGCTGCTTTCTGGTGGTCTTGTAGCCAGTCCCAGCCTTGTGGAGGTCTACAGTCTGGTCCCTGAGGTCCTCAGACAGCTCTTTAGTCTTGCCCATGGTGGAGAGGTTGGAATCTGATTGATTGATTCTGTGGACAGGTGTCTTTTATACAGGTAACTAGTTGATGTTAGGAGTACTTTCCTAAAGGAAATGGACTTATGTAATCGGTCTGTGGGAGCCAGAATCCTTGTTGGTTGCAAGGGGATCAAATACTTACTTCCCACAGTTAAATGCAAATCAATTTTTATCTTTTATATAATGTTAATTTCTGGATATTCTTTTTGATATTCTCTCTCACTGTTTATATAAACCTACCATTACAATTACAGACTGTTCATTTCTTTGTAAGTGGGTAAACTTGCTAAATCTGCAGGGGATCAAATACTTATTTCCTCCACTATATATTATTCTGAAATGGACCAATCTGCACAATGACTACTTTTACTTTTGGTACTTTAACTATATTTTGATGATAATAATTATTATATAAAATAATTCAACATGTATATTTTCTATGCCAATGCCATGTCTTTTTATGCTGCTGCAACACAAACATTTGCCAAATTGGGATCAATAAAGTACTATCTTATCTTAATACTTTTGTACTTTTACTGTAACATTTTGAATGCAGGACTTTTACTTGTAACAGAGTATTCCTACATTCTGGTACTTCTACTTTTACTCAAGTAAAAGATCTGAGTACTTCTACTTTTACTGAAGTACCAGATCTGAGTACTTCTACTTTTACTTAATTACAAGATCTGAGTACTTCTTCTTTTACTAAAGTACCAGCTCCGAGTACCTCTCCCCCTCTGTGTATCCTGTGTGAGGTGAAGCTCCAGCACTGACCTGATGAGGTAGACCTTCTCCTCCTCTCCGTACTCCTCCCTGCAGAGGGTGAAGCGATAAATCCATGAGGCGTACCAGCTCAGGTAGGTGGTCAGGTAATAGGGGAAGAGCACCATCTGGCAGAGCAGGATGTCGGACAGGTTGGGCTTCTGGTAGCCTCCCTTGATGTCGATCTTGGTCTTGATGATGTCCCGGATCACCTCCTCCTCCTGCTCCCGGATCTCCTCCTTGGAGCGCCGGTTCTTCCCCTTCTCCTTGCTGCGGTTGAGGAGCCCCTGCTGCTTGGCGATCTCCGTGGCCTGGATCCGGTACTTGGGCACCGTCACCAGGTAGTTGATGGCCTCATTGTAGCTGCTGTGCCAGCTGTAGAACTGGAGGAGGAAATCTACTTCTTATACACTCATGATGAACAAAGTATTTGCCATGCAATTGGGTATCTTTTTTTCTGGCTATTTTGAAAGAGGCAGACAGCTGGAGAAAAATTGATTTTACAGTTGCATGTTATTGAACATCCACCCAAGTGTTTTTGATTTTGCAGCAATTCCGAAAGGCATGTATGAGGGAGTCACTCTCTGCACAACTTTTTAAACATGCATCTAAGGAACTGATGTAACTTATAGTCCCCACTATAATACATTCTTGTCATTCATTTATACTGAATTAAACGTAGATTCTCATTTGTTATTATTTTATATGCGAGTTGTTAACATTCCTTACGTTTTTCTTTTGCGCCTCTATACCAAGCTGTTAATTCCACTTATTGTATATGTTTTGAAGCAATTCATCACTGTTCCAAACTAACTCATCAGTTTTCAATAAATAAAAAACATTAGTACCTGGAAGATGGAGATGGCGCAGATGGTGACCAGGATGACGATCCTCACGTCCACCTTGGGGGTGAGCTGCCTCCTGTAGTAGGTGTAGTAGTGCTGGTAGTACTCCTCGGGGTGGTCCAGCATGTAGTCGTAGTCCCGCCGAGTCTCCTCATCCTGCACACACACACCCACAATCATTTTCATCTTTAATAAAGGCTCATCAGTATGACATAGGCAGGTCTTTACTGACAAGTTCAAAGCTTTATTCACAGAAATAAATGTTGCAGCTTTATTTTTGTTGCTTAACAAACTATTTGGGCAAACCAAAAATACCTCTACATTTATTAAGAAAACGTACAAGTAATCATTTACAAAATATAATTCTAATCTAACTGAATTTCCAAATTCAATCCATAATTGTAAGTGTTCATTCTTTCCAATACAACATATCTTTAACATACCTCGCTTCAATAAACACTGATGAGTTATATTCTTTAAAGAAAAATGAAAAGGTAATTTCATATGTTTAATTTAATTTGTCTACATTTTGGGAGTTTCATAGGCTAGACAAGCATTACTGTATGTACACTGCCTATTATTCTGTATATTTATATTGTTTATTCAATATATATACACTCTATAGATATATATCCTTCATTAGTAATATGTGTATATTCACTGTTTTGCATATTTTGTTAGTCTTCTATTGCTGATATGTATATCTTTGTTTGTTTTTTTAATTTCATTTTATTTACCTCTAATTCATTGGCAGTGTCTTATCTATGCTGCTGTGACATAAACATTTCCCAAATCGGATTAATCAAGTATATCTTGTCTTCTTAATCCGATAAATTCAAATTATCAACTTTGAGGAATTTTTCTTTTTGTTTAGGAACAGGAAGTCAAATATGACGGCATATATATGACGGAGTACTTTTCCCCGTACAGTTCCGATAGTTCCTGGGGTTTTGCATTCACACCAAAAAGAGAACTTAGTTCACGAGAACTTTTACCCCCTTTTTAGTGCCTGCTAGCGAGGTGGTACTTTCCTGGGGAGAAAAAAAGTTCCAATTTCTGATTGGCTGGGCGAATTGCAAACCACGCCCCGTAAAAACTCGGAAAAGTTTTTTGAAGCCGCCATTGTATTTGCTGGCATTAGCATTATTAGCATTAGCCCCGCACACCAACGGAGAGAAAATAACTTATGGCAACACAAAAAAAGGACGCCTCGTGAACTGTTAGCGCCGTGTTACACGTGCCCACTGCACCTCGCGGGAGCGCGCACAGCGTAAATCAAATACTCACAGACATTTCAATTATTTTTTCTGCAAAGTTAGGTTTGGAAACTGTATCATTTCCTTTTGGGCGGGCATGCATAACACGGCATAACACCGGAGCACCGCTGCGGGGAAACTTTGGCGCTGTTCTGAGTTTGTTCTAATCTGTCAAAATGACTGACGGCTTTCAGATTTTTCCGTCATTGTTAAAAAAATCCGTCCCGGTGTTCTAAGGCTGCCTTTACACGGGAACGTTTGCGTTTATGCATCGTATGCATTTTCAAAAGTCTTCCGTTCACACGCATTCGATTCATTTAACGTGTCTGTTCACACGAGACCGCTGGAAACGCTGTAGTACATATGCCAGGCCTGTAAGTGGCGCTGCTGCCGCCACAAAATACACCAAAAGCAGCGATGAAGACCCCGGAGCATGGTTGCCCTTCTGTTTATGCCCCGCGGTGGATTTAGCAACATGTAGTAGTTCATGTAATTCTCCATGTCCACTTGTTGCTGATGCTGTGGTAGAGGAGCTGTATATTTTGCACTAACATCTGTAGCATGGTCGAGCTGTAGATGTTGTACTAACATCTGTAGCATGGTCAGTAGCAGTAGCACTAGCAGCAGCTACTGACAGTAGCTACTGACCATGCTACAGCAGTGAGCAGCAGAGGTGGGGAGAGGCGGGGCTATGGCTTCATCTATCGGGAAATGATCGTATAGAGGCGATTACACAGAGCCGTTTGACCCCCCAGAGCGTTTCGTTTGCAGATCTATCCACCTTGGGACCCGTTATCGTTTGTGGGGTCCGTTTCTATCGTTTTGTTACGGCCTCGTGTAAATGAAAGGGCTATACGCAAGAGAAACTATGCGGATACAACCCGTTTCGTTCCCGTGTAAATGGGGTCTAAGAGATCTCATTGGTTACAGGTGTGTTCACGTGTGTGTTCTGCAGGTGACTGGAACAGAGAGGGCAACTTTGAATAGCTCAGTCTGTAGGGACCGAAGGGTCGCAAGTTCAAGCCCGGAGCAACAAAAAAAAAAGACAAAATAAGCCAGTTCACCTCCTGGTCACTGCTGAGGAGGTGAACTAGACTTTTAGCAAGGCTCTGAACCCCAACTGCTCCCTGGTGGAGGGAAAACAGGCAGCCTGTCTGCTCTGACACCTCTCCATGGCAAAAAATGCATGCGTTTGTATCTTTATATGTATTCAGACCTTATGTGTATGGGTACTGTCACGGTACTCTGTGTGTGTGTGTGTGTGCGTGCGTTGTTGTGTGTGAATAACTGAATTTCCCCTGCGGGATAGATAAAGGATCTTCTTCTTCTTAATGGCAGTGTTTCAAATCAATTTCAAACCGAGTAAAGGTTATGGTCAATAACCTGGTCAATGTTTTGCCTACATGAGTATGTGGTTTCAGTCATTTGAAATGTGATTGTCACAGTAGGAAGAGCACAGGTGTGAATGATAACAGTAATGTTGGATGTGTTCCAGTGAGATGGACAGGGAGCAAAGATGCTAAATGGAATTCATCCATCACTACCTCCATCATTACACTGAGCTTCTCCTACCTTCACACGTCACCTAGTCCTGGCCAAGGACCAGTTTAGTGTGTCTTGAAAATTACGAAAAACTACAATGAGCACAAAAAGATGTAAACATACTATGAAACACTTCAACATAATGAAAGTGCATTTATAAAGAAATATATACTATATGAATGAGTAAATAAACAGCCACTGTAAGGGAAAGAAACAGGGTCTCTACAACATAATAAAACACCAACACCACACTTCCTCTACTTACAGTGTGCTGCCATATGGCATTCAAATCATATCAATATAAGAAGACATACTATGAGTACATTTATAGAGGACATCACATGGCAACATCTGTCCATATATACAGTGTAAAGTCCCTCATGATATTATATTATAGGATGTACAGTAAACACACATGAATCCCTACAGGAGTACAATGTAAGCATTGGGAAGGAGAAGGTGGTCTACCTCTACTCTGGTGCCATAAGGACACGTTTCAGGAAAGGAGAAGTAATAAGGATATGAAACACAGAGTCAGAGACACACAGAGACACACTGAAGCCGTTTCTCAATGTCGAGGAGGCTTGCTTGGTAGCACATGTATGCTGGGCATTTAAACAGTCCTTCGACGCCACTCGATGACGTAGTATACTTGAAATAGTGGCTCTGCAGCAGCTTAATACTCAACATTGAGAAACACCCAGGGACACAAAGAGACACACACGTCTCAAAGCTCGCTGCTGGACATGACAGTGTCCTCTGAAGGGACACTCTCTCTGAGACTGACCCACCTTCAGTGTCTCGTACGCGGTGGCGATGAGCAGGAACTTCGTGTGGGCGGACTCCCGGGTCTCTCCCTCATAGACGGGCTCTCCGGGCCTGAACCGGTCCGGATGGTACCGGCGGGCCAGCTGCCGGTAAGCCCGGGCGATATCCAGCTTGACGGCCTCCCGGGAGACTCCGAGCACATCGTAGCAGACCTCGGTGCCGCAGTACAGGCCCTCCACCAGCCCGGAGGCCGCCGGCAGGGAGCTCACGGAGAGCAGGAGCACCGCGAGCCGCCACCAGCTCTTCCCTGTCCGGGGACACCCAGCTCCGCCGCCTCGGCTCCGCTCCATGCCCGCAGCCATCTCTGTTAGCCTGCCGCCGCCGCTGCCGACCATAGGCTGTCCCGTCGCCTGCTGCTGACATCATCAGTACGCGCAATGTGGAAAGATGACGAGGCATGCATCAAAGATCGTCTGTGAGAGGGAGTGATGCTGGAGAGGGGAATGCAGACTTTCCTTTGACTAGCCTGAAGCTGAATTCTGACCTTTTTGTTTAGAATTCTGAGTTTAAAGTCGAAACTCTCACTTTTTTACTTTTGGTAACTTCCCACATTTTGTTTCGTATGTTTCACCGTAAGGAGCAGATTCATTCTGACTTTAATCTCAGAATTCGGACTTTGTGAGCAGTGGCGACTGGTCATTAGGGGCAGGTGGGGCACAGCCCCACCTAGTGTCAGCAGAAAGTATTACAAATAATGATTACAAAAAATGCAAAAAATTAATAAAACAATATATAAAATATATTTTAAGATCATGTTTAATCATCTGATTCGTCTGTACATTGTTGTTTTAGTCTGTGTTCTTCTAATTAGTGTGTCTACAGTCACAGTGTGTACCTATTGAGCTGTTTAGAGCCATGTGGGACAAAACCTGATCATGCCCCTTCCTCTCGCTGTGAAGTGAACGGTGACTGTAAAAACTACACTGCGCATGCTCAGAGTATTTTCCTATTTAATGTGTGTGGCAAAAAAATAATGACCATAGGGGCACTGAGCTGCCATCCCCACCATACGTCATCTCACATCATTCAGAGCTGATTGGCTGTAAGTACGTGTGCCGCGAAAAGTGTGGTGTGTGAAGAGGAGACGAGAGAGCTGCAGTGTCGCGTCCTAAAACCAGGAAGTAAGCACAAAAAAGCAATGAGGTTTCTCCATAGGATTTTAGAAAATAGCTCTAAATAAGATCTGTGGGAAACGTACCTGTTAGATAAATGCACGTTTTGTTCAGCCGGATAACATCCACATGTCTACCCTACTTTTATAATTTTTTTATCATAAATCTATCGATTAGATTTATGATTGACTTTTGAAACTACAGGAAGATAAGGAGGATTTTACAAAAAAGTAATAGAAATGTTTGTCCAGAAGGATAGGCAACTGGACTTCATCTTCAAGTCAAGGTAAGACCGCAATTTTATTGAAAATGGGATCTTACTAAGAGAGAACAATTCAATATTTAAATGATAAAATTACATTTTTTGGGTATCCTTTTGTTGAACTGTCTGTTTAAAATTAATCGAAGCATCAGACAAAAAAAGCTTTTGAAAATAATATAATATTTTGGTTTAGGTCAAAATATAATATTTGTAAACCTGAAGAGTCAGTGCCAGTGCCTCACCAGCCATGAACCTCACTGCACGTCACTGCAGAAGCTTATATATAGACATCTACGTTTTTTGTGCCCCACCACTTTTGTACATATAAAAACGCCACTGTTTGTGAGATTAAAGACAGAACTCCCAGATATGCATTGCATTTGGCAAATTGTTTGTCCATTTTGTAGACATAAAGCTGCATTGTTTTGACAAATGGAGTCAGGAGATTTATTTTGCTCTTGGTAAAGGGTATACAATTGTTCCGGCTGGTGCCCCACGGGAACGCATACGGCAAAACGCATAGGATTAACGCAATCGCAATCGCAAAAAAGCTTCCGTCCACACCAAGCGGCAAACTCTGGGGAAGAGCCGGGACGCCAATACGGAAGTGCCACAAACTGCAGTTCATATATTGGCCGATAGGCGATGACTGCAGAAAGGAGCAATTTCCATAGACCCCCATGTTAAAATGCCCAATTTCACAGCAGAAAAAAAACGTTTCTAGCCCTGGATGCAATAAATATTATTATGTATATAGTTAGATTCCACCTTCATGATTATGAATCTGTGAGTGAATTGTTTTCTAACATGACCCTTTTATTTATATTAGGTCTTAAAGTTTTTGCATAAATTAGGGCGTGGTCACATTGAGTGACAGCTCTGTCAAGTCACTGCTGCTGTTAGCTTCTTGTCTCTCTGCTAGCTGCTCCGTCTCCGTGAAGCTACAGGGACTCTGCCTGCTCAGTTCATCCAGGGAACACAACTTGACCCCGGCCGTGTTTGTTTGTTCTTCATGCTTATATATCGGACTATTGTGACTCGCTCTGCGGTTAAAACAGACGGTGCATGAATGCCGTTTTGCGGTAAGTGAAATTCGAGTACTTTATTTATGTGTTTATGATTTCAATCAGCTACGTAATGAATGTTAAGGCTTGGGTTAGCGTATAAGCGAGTGGTAGCTACATCGGTGCTAACGATGCTAATCTTAGCCTCCAAGTTAACTTAAAACCATAGACTGTATATATAAAGGTTAAAACAAAATAGACAAGTGTTAAGCGTTAAGTGGATAATACTGTAGAACAAAAGGCTTCTGTTTGAGGTTGATAAAATAAGGTCATCCTTGTAATTTAGAGAGATATTTTATTATGTAGGTAGGAACTGTATGCATCGCTAAGGTTAATTTAAATTGGCTATGCTCAAGTATGTAGACAAGCTAACGTCGAAGTAGTGTATGTGAAATCAACCTCACAATAAGATGTGTGTATATTACAATTATTAATGTCATATTTCAAGATGATTACTTAGATATTACAATATGGTTGGTTGAGCTGGAGTTCATTATTGAGCTTACACGTTAACATCACAGTCATCTGAAGAACGAACCCAAACCTTGTTGTTTTTATTAATTGCATTACCAAATTGGTATCAAATAAACAGTAAGCATTGGTAACACAACTTCCAAAGTTACAGTAAAATAAAAAGGACCCTGACTCGGACAATACACAATCCAACATGTTCAACAGAAGATAATAAGTTATATTGTTTGTACACATGGTTCTTTACATATATATCTGTTTGTTTAAAGTGTCCAGGTGATGCAGACAGGCTGGACCAGAGAGTGAGAGACAGAACTGGACTCCTCACAGCAGTGAACTTCAGCACAGGTACAAATACTCTTTTTTCATACTGTACAAAGAATCAAGAAAGATATTGGTTTAAATAAATGAAGTATTGACTTTAATACACTGATATACATTCCATTAAACAATACTAAATACTAGATCACCTACACATCAGTGAAGTTGAGGGTTTTTTCCATGCAAAGGGTTACATTTCGATGTTAACAAGCAATATGACTGTCAGCTTTCTAATTTAAGGTATTGAAGGCAAAGATATTTAACGCATAGTGACAACTGCTATTTATCTCTCAATATTGTCTGTAAAAACGTGGTAAAAGTTATTCTTTCAGTGAGACAACAGAGCAAGCTTGTTTTAATAACAGTTCAATATTATTTTGATAATAAAATACATTTCAATGTTGATGAATTTCATACTGTTCATTCATAATCTGATTGTCTTTGTAGCTCACTGTTGAAATAAAAAAAAACATTACAATTACAAAATAATGATATCTACAGCCCCTAAACACAAACACACCTCTTTCATAAATAACACACTTGTTCTGCAATAATATGTTTTATGTTTCCTGTAATTTTTGTTAGGAAAGGACATGCCTGAAAGACACGACTCAGCATCTCCTCTTTCTCCGAGGGTCAAGAAAAACATCCAATAGGAAAATTAAAAGCTGATGTTATGAGATGTTAAGACCAGTACAGGACATTCACTAAGAAACTATTTTTATTGTGAAAACACAGTCAGCTGATCGAATGCACCTATTTCCACATCTACACTCCATCAGCTGATTATTTCTATTTGCCTCACTTCATGAGCTTCACAACATGTACCTTGTACCGCAGAGTTTGCAACGCAAATAAATGGGGCCAATCTTCAGTCGGATGTGAATGTGTAATCTAACATTTTCAGCAAGAATAATGGACAAAAGGAGTGCAAATACAAATTCAATTTATTGAAATGTGAACCAAAAGTTAATCAAACATGTTTTAAATAAAAAGCACATATGGACAGAAGGTGTAAACCTATTAAATGTATAAGTAAACACATTTAGTCAAATAAAGTGACAGACTAGGCCTGATCAGGTGGTATCAGCTATGCATGGGCTCCTCCATCAGGTCTGGTCCTCCTCACAGAGGAAAGACCCTCAGTCCTCCCCGGCCAAACCAACAGACAGGACGTCCATCACACGGAGGTTTCTCCCTGAAGTCTCTGCAGCTCTCTGGACACCACGCTGTCTCAATCCATCCACACTGAATATGAGAGGGGAAAAATGAAAATAATAAATGCTTTAGACAATAAGAAATATAAAGTTGACTGTTGAGTTGCTCAGTTTTTTTAGATTGTCAATACTATTACTGTATAACTAATATCTCAGGTTAAGAGGCACCTTCAAATAAAGATTGGTCTTTAAATACATTTTGTCTTTTGAATTGTTTGTCTAAAGTCAAGGATCTAGAACTGGTACTTGTAGTTTTAATGATACAGTCTGGTTATAATGCTGTTTGGAGGAGGCCTCACAGGTAAGAGCACTAACTAGCTATCATCACATGTACCTTAGCTTAACTTAAATGTATTAAACGTATAATTAAGTGATGGCAAAATATAAATAACTAATGTCATGCAAACATATTAATATTTGCTTGATTCCAGTGTTTAATTTAGCACAATTGCAAACAAATGTTAAGGGATTTTAAGATTCTGAAGTATTATGCTAAAAACTCAACTTAGATTATTATTTATAGTTTTGCTGAATAGTCTCATGTCCGCTTACCTTAGAAACGTAAAACGCGACGGGAGTGTGCAGATGGGGAGCATGTTAGCTTAGCTTGGTAGCTTCAGCTAGCTCTGGAACTTCCAGCCCGGTGGCAGCAGGTCCCGCCTCGGCTCCGCCTCTTTGCCCTTATTTAGAGCAGGCGGGAGTGGAACTCTGTCTAACTGTCGAGCCGTTAGTGGCCGACTCCGCCTACTAAGGGCTTCTCGGCAACTCTGCAGAATCCTATGGGTGACGTCACGGACCCTACGTCCATTTATATATACAGTCTATGGTCCACACGCAATATAGCCTACACCGAATAGTGGGTGTTTCTCAATTGCGAGTAAAGCTGCTTCAGAGCCACTATTTCAAGCATACTACGTCATTGAGTGCCGCCGAAGTACTGTTCCAATCTCCAGCATACTTGGAAATCTACCGAGCCCGGCGTACTCCGTTTGGAGAAATATCGAGGCTGCACATGAGTAGACTCCGCGGTCTTAAAATCCCCACAATTTCCCCAAATCTGTGGCGGAAGATGTAAGGCGGGGCCTCTCATATGACGCACACCTGCACACTTGCTAGCCTGTTCCACTCTTTGTTTTCCGAATGGCAGGAAGTATTCTTG